ATGGCCATGATGGCAGCTCTGTGTAGGAGCTGTCAACTGTGGTCCCCGATGGCTCGTGTCACAGTGGGGTACAAAAGCAGTGCTGAGGGCAGGCAGGTCTCAGACCAGGGAGCTGCACAGCCAATGAGAAATTGATCTACATGGGATCAAAACTACGGCCTCTTTTATCCCAAAGGGATTTAACTATTTTTTCCCCAAATTATTTGCTGATATACAAGACCTATATGGTTACAAAGCTTTGACTGGCACACTGGCATCCGAGCTCTTCAGAGATCTTGCTGGAAAGTCGTACCTTTCCCCCCAAGTCTGGACTCGATTTCTATGTCTGGGTACTCTTCTTTCACTGCACTCGCCAGCTCCTGGTACGTCGACTCAAACCCACAGGGCTCACTGAGAACAAGAAAAGAGAACTCTGCTGTCAGGCAAGGAGGGGTGGGGGGGCACACAACACTGACAGTGTCTCTGTGAGCAGCATTAACACACCCAGAGGTGTCACTGCACAGGCTGAATTATTACATGAGTGACCTGTGGGCCCAGGCCTGCTCTGAAACTACATGCCCCACCCTGTTTCTGGAGAAGGGGCACTAAAGGCATAACTGGGTACTTGGGACAACTGAAGAGAAAGCTGGGGTGGAGGGTCGCAGGGCAATGACAACTTCTTCAATTGCCAAGGACAAGGCTTGGCCACCTGTGGCCCCCAGGCCGTATCTGCCCCAGGGCACTCAGGGGGGGTGGGGAATGACACATACCAGAATCATAGAAAGTCAGGGTTGGAAGGGACCTCAGGAGATCCTTTAGTCCAATCTCCTGCCCAAAGCGGAATCACCAACTAGACCATCCCAGCCAAGGCTTTGTCCAGCTGGGTTTTGAACACCTTCAAGGATGAGATTACACCACATCCGTGGGTAACCTGTTCTAGTGTTTTACTCCCCTCCTAGTGAGAAAAGTCTTCCTGATATCTAACCTAAACTTCCCTTGCTGCAACTTGAGACCATTGCTCTTTGTTCTGTCATCTGTCACCACCGAGAACAGTCTAGCTCCATCCTCCTTGTAACCAACTCTTCAGGTAGTTGAAGGCTGCTATTAAATCCCCTCGTAGTCTTCTTTTCTCTGAACTAAACTAAACAAGACCAGCTCCCTCAGTCTTTCCTCATCAGTCATGTGTCCCAGCCCCTCACCATTTTCTTAGTTCTCCCTTGGACTCTCTCCAATTTGTCCACATCCTTTCTATAGCAGGGGGCGCAAAACCAGATACAGGACTCCAGATGTAGCCTCACCAGTGCTGAATAGAAGGGAATAATCACTTCCCTTGATCTACTGGCAACGCTCCTACCAGAGCAGCCCAGTATGCCGTTAGCCTTCTTGGCAACAAGAATACATTCACTGCTGGCTCAGAGCTGAGAGCAAAGCTGAGCCACTTACCCCCTCCTGCATGGCCCTCCTTGCTGGGCATCTGCAGCAGGGCTGGTGCCAGGGGACAGGGGCATTTGCTGGGAGCCACCTCAGGCTAAGGAGGAGGGCATGCAGCCGCGGGGCGAGCAGAGCAGAAAGGCAGAGCAAGCGGGGAGGAGACAGCGGAGAGGGAGCAACTCCCTGCTGCGCCCCCAGCTTGGCTGGGCTGTCTCCCTCCACCCTGTGACTTATGTCCTTCTAAGGCCACCGTACCGTACCCCAGCCCACCCACAGCCGCGGCCCTCCCGTAGGGGGGAGTGGCAGCCCAGGCCCCTTCGCAGCGGATCTCACCAGTACTCCACCACGATGCGGACCCCGCGCCCCGCGGCTGAAAGCGGCACCGCCGCGGGCTCAGCTCCACCGCTCATCTGTATCGCCGCCGGCTGGCCCAGCTCGCGCTTCCGGGTTCCTGGGTCACGTGCACGGAGCACTTCCGGCTGCTCCCCCCGCCACGCAGCGCCGCGCAGGCGCACAGTCGGCACCGAGCTCCGGCGCTCCCTGCTGGCCCGGTGGGGCAGCGCGGCGCCCG